ATTAAATCTGGCCACATGTCAAATTTTGATTGAGTAGTAGTGCCATTAGGCATTGTCCAGTGACATGTTAAGCTCCACACAAGTTTTTTTTTTTTTTTTGTTCCTCCTCCAATCCTCCTATCCTAAGACCTACTCCAACTTTTGGAGTAACATTCAAATTTTAGATTCTAAACTTATCCCAACTTACTTCAACCCTTGGGACAAATATGAGTTAAAACCTAAAACTCATTTATGGGGAAAATTTAGCTCAGGATTCCTCCTGAGTTATTGGGGCTGACCCACCATATATGTGTAGTTTTTTTAGTTTTATATTTATAAATTATTAAATCTAACGGCTAAGATCTATTTTGATCAAATCCAACGGTAAAAAAAAACCTAATGGTCCAAATTTAAATACAATAGCTAAAGTAATTAAAAACAATTATTTTATGTGTATCATATTCTTTCGTAATATTCCACGAGTTTTATGATGCCGGTTTAATAAATTTTCAATATTTATTAGAATCTAAATATTTTTAGGTTAAAATGTTCATAAAATTAAATTAGGATAACTTACATAATTTTTCTTTAAAAAGTTACTTTAAGAAATTATCTTATATTCATTATTTAATAATCTCAGGCTAAAAATTTAACTCAGAAGGGTTGAAGATAATCTAAAGTCTCTAGCATTAAAAAGGAAAAAAAGAAGAAAATAAAAGAAGAAGAAAAGGGGTTGAATGCTGGAATTTGAAAGGGTTTCTTTGTTTAGGTTAAAAAATTTAGGTTTTAAGTTAAGGGTTAAGATGGTTAAAAGTCTCCAACATTAAAAAAGGGGTTGAACCATCTGCGTAAATATTTCATTTTATTTTAATAAATAAGAAGAAGAAAAAAAAAAAAACCTGATCTGATATATTTATTTTAATAAAAAAGGGGTTGAACCATCTGCGTAAATATTTCATTAAAAAAAAAGGGGTTGAACCAACAGCGAGAAATCAGTGCGGCAGAAAGCTGTAGGACGTCTGACAACCGTAGGCTCACAGGTTGCGCGGGCCTCGACATCCGCTGAAACGACGACCACGGTCCACGACGATGATCGCAGGAAGCCATCATCCTGTCGTCTCGTATTTTTGGTATTGTTTTCCCTGCTCCCCCACGCATCAGATTATTCAACCTTACCTGGAAATGGACACGGTCCGACTTTCATTAGTTTTTTGGTGGGGCCCGACGTCCGTACAAGTCTTCGCATTCGCCTTCGGTCATGCGGGGCCCACGCGGTTGTGCATCTCACGTGCCATGTGGGACGTAATAGCAAAGCTTGTTGCACTTTATACCCAACCGTCTATTGTATTCTCGTGTAGCCCGTCGAGGTTTTTAAAATGACATAATTGTCCCTAAGGTTTTAGCGTTGTTTCCCATTGCCCTTTTGTCTACTACCGATCAATAATAAATCATTAGCGTTGTTTCCCAATCTCTGCCTCTATACTTAAATTTTCATATGAATTCTGAGGTACCATGGTATGGAGTTACGGTTTATATACAAAAAAAGTTAACATAAAAATAATAAAAACTAATAGCCTAGTTACCGGCAAACGACGTTACCCACCTGCTTCATTCCCTTCGTTTCCCAACGGTTTATTGTATTCTTGTATAGTCTGTCGAGGTTTTGAAAATAACAAATTCGTCCTTGAGGTTTTAGTGTTGTTTCCCATAGCTCTTTTGTCTACTACCGATCGTAATAAATTATTGGAAATTTTTATTTGAAATCCAATCTATGTCTCTTTACACTCAACTTAAAATTTTCATTTTTATGAAATTATGCAATGCATTTACTTGCATAATTTTGATAAAAATGAACATTATAATATCCTTGCTGTCAATTTCTATTTTTATACTTGCATAACAGTTGAAGAAAACCCTAATGACCTCAAGACAATCCACGCGTTGCTGCGCTATGATTTTCATTTTTCTTTTGCTCCGTACAGTCGCACGCAAACTCGGCGTAGAGGGTTTTGGGAGTGGCTTGCACATGCGGGATCCACAAGCTGCCTCCCTTAAGTAAGCTTAACCGTTTCTTTTGGTTGGAATTAAGGTGGGATTAATTTATTCATTACGTAAAGTCAAATGCCATGCATCATGCATGTGACAAATAATTAAATTAGGAGACTGCAGCGAAGATATTGTGGAAGAGAAAATGTGTACGTTTTTTACGAGTGAGGGTACGGTATTCATTTTTGTTTTTGCTAAATAAGCGGATTTTGAAAATAGCGCAGGTTGAGCACGTTTAAAAAAAAAAAAGAGTTTTAACGAAACATTTTCGATATTATTTATTTTAAACGAAAAATCATATTTTTATTTTTTTTTCTAGTACTATTCACTACACATTTATTTGTCATTTTTCATTAAAACTAAGTGGGTTAAGTACGTTACAAAAATACAAACTAAGACCATCTCCAACCTTTGTGCTAAAGCCTAAAATTTTTAACCCAGAAAATTTAGGTTTTAACTCAGAAACAGTTTTTCTCCTCCAACCCTTATGGTTAAATTTTTAGTCATAGATTATTAAAGAATGAATTTAAGATAATTTTTGTCTTTCTTAAAGTAACTTTTTTTTATATTAAAAAAAAATTATGTAGACTATCCTAATTTAATTTTATGAACATTTTAACCTAAAAATATTTATATTCCGATAAATTTTGAAAAATCACTAAACCGACACTATGAAACTCGTGGAACACTACGAAAGAATATGAAACACATAAAATATATTTTTAATTACTTTAGTCGTTGGATTTAAATTTAGACGGTTATATTTTTTTTTACCGTTGGATTTGATTAAATTAGATCTTAACCGTTGGATTCAATGAATTTATAAATATAAAACTAAAAAAAAATATACATATATGGTGGGTCAGCCTCACTAATCTAGGGGAAATCATGGGCTAAATTTGCCCCATAAATGAATTTTGAGTTTCAACTCATATTTTCCCTAAGGGTTGGAGCAAGTTGGGGTAAATTTAAAACCTAAATTTTGAGTTTAACTTCAAAGGTTGGAGTAGATCTAAGCGGGTTAAGCAATTTTTAAAGAAAATATGTACGTTATTTACTAAAGTAAAGTCACTAAGTCGTCAAACATGTCTAGGGCTGCCTAGAAAAGGGAAGTCCAACAAGCAAGTCATTATTTGCACAAAAGATTGAAGTCGTTCAACGTCATTGTACGAATAAGAGAATAATCGAGCTAAACATTTATCTTTGTACTCACAATTGCAATTCGATGCTTAGGTATCAGTTGATGATTAGGATTTGAATGAATTGTATAAAGGGTAATTCTATTAACACCCCATAATTTTATTTTTTTAGTTAAATTTCCGTTTTTACCCTGACTTGAATTAAGTTCTGATGTCCAAAATAAAGCACATCCACCCCCTTATGCCAGTTGCCAACCACCACATTGTTTGGGCAAAAAATCCCAACCACTCGCCATTCGCCATGCTCTCTCTCTCTCTCTCTCTCTCTCTCTCTATGTGTGTGTATTTATATATCCAATCACTAGCCACTCGCCGGTAGGTAATAGGGAATTGGGAGATGGGGTGTATGAATCAAGAGTGTTGGGCAATTCTCGGTCAGTTAGAGAGTCGGTATTAGCTGTCAACTTCCGCAACGTGGGGGATTTTTGGCTGTGCTGATAACAATGACGGATACCTCTTATATTGGTGGCCTATGACTGTCGAGCTAGCTTTTTTGTTGTCGTTTGTTTATGGGGATGGGGTGGCTTCAGAAAAAAGGAGGACAAAGCTAGAATTTTAGAGGCACATTTTAGATGTGGGCTGTACTCATAAAGATGTGGGGTGTTAATAAAACAACCCTTGTATAAATCATAAAATTTAAGATACATCAAATCAAATGTGAAGGTTTTTAAAAGAGTGTAAATTTTCTTAATAAGTATGTACTCTCAAAAATAGAATTTTCAATGATCTTTGGCACCGTGACCAAATAATAATATCAAAGAATAATCACTAATTAGAAAGGACTAGGATTCTTTCCCCTCTTCTCACATTCTCTATTTTGTTTTTTTTTTTTTTATAAAAAATTAATATAAGATATTAACTTGACTTAACTATAACCGTCAAAATAGGAGGAGAGGGAAGAGAAAAGAAAAAAAAAAAAAACGGAAAGAATCCTATTCTGTTAGAAATTGCATGGCAACTTTCCTAGCCGCAACAAAAAGATAAAGACCAAGCTTTCGCACGTTGGCTCCAGTCGCCATGCGATTCCCGATAAAATAGGATGACGTGGGCTATGTGATGTCAGAAAATGCGTAGAGATATGGATCCTCTCCGTTTACCCGTAAACCAAATCGGAAGAGAATTGGGTCTACCGTTTTTCATTTGTTTTGGAACGATCGATATCAAGCAACGTTTTTTTATGCTTCTTTACCAACATAAATAAGATTCGTAAATCGCCTAATAATTAAATATTATTTATTTTGGAGAGAAATAAAGATAAAATGATAGTACTAATGGTAGTTTTCTTTTCGGCGGTTATTTTTAACCTGATAATGTGCAAAGTGCGTCTCTAAAAAGAAGACTATATTCTAACCAACAAGAAAAGCTAACTACAAGTAGTCCTCGAGTGAGCTACATTTAGCCCTCCAACAAAGTTTTTTGTGGAGCCCAAACGGACTTCCTATTTCTTCATTCACTCTTAAAGTGTATAGCCTTTTACGGTTTTAGAGGGAAAAAATGAACCAGGAATGTCTGCCCTCCCACTTCCGATGCCATCTCGTGCCCTCCTGTTTGTGTGGTCACGGTTAAAGCCATGTCAACATTTTATATTACTATTCATTTTTGTTTTATTATCTCTATAAAAAAAACAATATAAAATGTTGACGTGGCTTAACCGTGACCACACAAAACAGGAGGCACCGGAAGTGGGAGGGCAGACAATCCTTGTCTGGAAAAAATTACAATGCTAAGACCATGTTTGAGTTGCTCGAGTTGCAAAACTTTAGTAAACTACACGAGTTAAATCGAAAATTTCAAATTATACGGACCAAAGAACTGAACTATATGACAAAATCATTGCCATATTCGATTTCTAACTCGAACAAAATGGTCTTCCCCACCCCCGAAAAGGGGTTCAACCAAGGAAGCGAAATGCATCGGAAGGCCACATGTACGTATGAAAACTAAACACGAAATACAGAAATGTGGCATTGCGAGTGGAATTGCTACAGTCTAGCATCCTTGAATTATGAACTCGTATCACCTCAAGATGTATGTATCAAGGGATAAGCTTGCACTGCCTCATTTCTCTTCCAAAAGCAGTTTTGTGCATGAAAGAAAGGACGACGATTCCTCTTCGGTAGCCAATCCAGTGCCTTGACATCTTATTCTACCAAATTTATCAAGCAGGAAAATATACCTATTCGGTGGAAACATTAACAAGAAGCAACTTGTCAAAAAAATTATACTCTAGCAACAACTCACACAACCACAAATTCAACGGCAAAAGAAAGCTTCCATACCCGGTCAGAAGGTTCAGCATTTTCAGTTCTTTTCTGAAGTAATAATGGTCACCAAATGAATATACGATCTGCCTTTTGAGTTCAGTGCTTTCGTGATGCTTTGATTTCCTCATAATCCGGAGCAGAAGCTTCTTAATTGGACTCCGACATAAGAACCATGAGTCTATTAATGATACCTAGAGGAAGCTTCATTAATTAACTTAAATGTACTAATAATAATGGTGAAATGAACTTCCAAGTGATATATTCCAGAATAATATGAGAAAAAGAACAAGGCTGATGTGCCTTGGATTCTGTTCACCACTTCCCAACAAAACACACATACGCGCGCGCAAACACAGTATGCTATATGCATAAGCTACAATTTAGTTGAGAGAAAAAATAACTATAGCACAAGTACATTCCCAAACAAAATTGAGGACAAGTGACCTCCACCTCCTATGGCTCCATCAATACAGAAAACAAATAAAGCAAAGAAGAAGAAATGTCACACAAATGTTAGTCCTTGGGGATTGCATGCAAGTCCCACATTTCCATCACATACATAAAAAGAAAACGAGTAAGACAATACAAAGGTCTCAATAATGATAACCTTCATGTTTTTATACATGTAATCAAAACAATGTTTATCTGGAAAATTTTATTAGAGAAAATGTATGCTGTTATTAAACCCGTTAAAGATAATTTCTAATAAACATTGCCATTAGATGCACCCACTTTTAACTAATTAAGAGGGCTTACTTCACACTTGCATCACACTTTGCACGAAACTCTATATAAACTTACAGAATTCAAGAAACTAGGTTAGATGAAAGCACAAATGGGTAATACCTACAGTAAAAGCAGAAAGTTGAATCAATGATGAAGATTTATACAACTACTTATACCTCATATAGTCGAACATCCTTTGAATCACTAAAAGCATCAAGAAAAGGGGCGCTCCAAGAATTAATCATTCCCTGTCAAGGAAAAAGAAACTAATTTTTGTAGCAACAACAGTAACAGAAAACCATAAACATTGATGCAATAACATAACAAGTTTAACTAACATTCTACATTCCACAACCAAACATAATACGTCCATGATAAAGTACCAATACCTACTACAAAGTTGCTACCTAGCTTACATATTAACGAGATTGAATATTGGCAATGGAAAAATGATAGCACCCTCAGGTCAGTCGAACAACATACACACTCTTGAGCTATGTAAGCACTAAATAAACTTAACACCAATAAGGAAGTTCTAGTGGTTTCCCCTACTAGAAGGATGACTTAAATGCATCTTTCAGAATATAGCTCCACGAAATAAGTCAGTTGGGATGGATCTTTAGGATTACACTAATGATCAATTCTGCTCACCAAGCTATTAGGATAAAGATCAATTGCATTTCACTCTCCAGATCAATAAAAAACACTGAGGGATCAATCGTATCTGCCACCTGGCTCACCTCCCATGTACAGCTTATGTTTCCAATTTCTGAGGTGTGCCTTGCCATTGTTTGATGACTTTACAACCATTAGTTGCAAGGATCCAATAATCGGCGATAGAAAGATTACAATTCAATTCCTAGACATGTCTTACTATCATTATTGTAATTGGAGAATTTTCTAAAAAATTTACACAGTTTTTCTCTCCATGTTCAGAAGAGAATGTATAAATTGCAAAATAGAATTCTATCCTTCTGGTTCCCTTTGCTCACATCACAGTCCTACTGGCCTTATTATTCTTGATAGAGAGGTCCTATACATACGTACTATAGTAAGAGTGGAAAAGTCTTTTATAAGAATTCCTCAAATATTGCAAATAATTCAAGACAGGTTGTGCATTTGAAAGCATAAAAATACTACAAAAATAACTCAACTGCAGACCTGGGAGCTTGCTCGAAATGAAAGGCATACTAAAGATGCCTTGGGGACTTCCAATTTGTTGGCCTCAGCAACATTTCCATTCCCATTGGAGCGAACGGGCAGCTTCAATACTTTTCCATCAGAGTAGTTCACTTCTAAGTCAGGAAACTTTATGGCTGCCATTGCAGGAACTATGGTTTTATTTGCCACATAAATCTACACACAGAAACTAAAATTTACATTTCAAACTTAAATAAAAACTGAACAAGACATCACTGAAACTTGCTTTTTAGTGCACATAGTAAAGGCGTCTTCAAATAAGATCATGCTCCATCAGCATGATTTACGAAAGCATAATGCTTCCCCCCAAAAGGCTAATATTACTATCAGTTAGTACTACTTACCACCCCAATTCCAAATTATGAACAAAGAAAAAGGAATTGCCTTTCGGCATGACAATGTACCGGGTTGATCACCCCTAACCCCAAATGAATTATGGATGCAAAATCATATTAAAAAGGTAATGTTTCCTTACCTTCCCACCATGTTTCTTAAGCTCAGACATATCAGCAAAATACCCCCTATTCAACTCATCTGAACTGCCCTACATTACAGCAACAATGCATTGATATTGATACATGCCCTCCAAAAAAAAAATTGAAAAACAAACAGAAAATGGTACAAGAACTTACAGCCGGGCACGCTCTTTCTCTATAGCTGCTTTATTTACAAGCTGCAAAATCAAATGGGGTTTCCCTAAATTCCATTAACAATACTGGGTATTGGCTAATTTCGAAAGAAAAAAAAACTAAAAACTGCACATTTAAATGGGTATGGTACCTTGTAAATGTCGAAGAAGCGATTGGAGCTTCTTTGAGCTAAGAAATGCTGGGAAGCTGGAAGCAGCTGCTGCTTCTTGCTCTCATTGGGCCTCAAGATTTGAGAAGCGAATATAGAAGATCGGCTGAATCGGTTCATAATTTCTATCCCACTGTGCAAAACCCTAAATTCAAATTCAAAGATTTTTTAGGGTTTTTGTTGTTGTATCAGAATTTGTTACGTTGTAAACTTGCCAGTTTTCCGACCGGGACGATGGTGATTTGCGAGGCTGTAGGCCAGGTGATGGGCCAAAGCTCAGTCAAAATGATGGGCTTCTACTTGTTAATTTGGTTGCGTATAATGGATCTATGCACCAAGTACTTATTTAAAATAAAAAGTGCTTTTGACCACATTTAGAAGAAAATATTTAAAATGATTTCGGGTGGTAGAGAAACACTTGTTAAGTACTTTTTAAGAAGCACTTTTTGAAACTCTAGTGTTCTATTTTCTCACCCATATTATAATTTCACCCATCATAAAAGGTTAAAAATTGAAATATTATTTCTCCACTCACTATTATTTCTAAAATAACCTCTAGAATGTATTTAAAATTATAAACTTGTCTCTTAGAAAAAACGAATATAAACAAATAATATATAGAACTAAAACTAAGGACATGATCTTAATAGAATTTCAGTAGTTTCATCTAACATAAGAAAAGTACATGATTGTTTCATATTAATAAAAAAAAGTTTACATCACATGCCACAGAGTCAATACCGTTTATTTTGGACAACTTATACTCCTCCACGACCATATATGGTGCACTAATTGAGACAGAACCGCGAAGTTCCATAAAATTTATGAACGTCTAAAACCATTATGCATCAATATCAAACTTTTGTCAAAGAAAGCCTTGATTTCAGTGTGCTGCAACTCAAGTAGAGCATGCATACTTCCCCATGAAAATATTTGGTTCTTTTAACCTGATGTTTTTTTCCTTTCTTTTCAGTTTCCCTGTAGAAACTTTTAGAATAAATGAGCTCAATGTTTATGTCAGAGTTCATGTCTTCTGGAGACTCTCTGCTGGAATCTGCGGCAGACTGTATTTAAGGTTAGTTGAGAGATGGAACATATCTTATTGATTTACATAAACTGTTGTGTTTGTGTGTTTCTGAGTTGTGTTTACTCATATATTGTCGGGCGCAGTTCCTTTCATTCCCTTATCAGAGCCTAGTTGTCTGGCAATTCTTGTGTGCTTTTCCTAATGACTTTTTGTTGTGCAAACTAAAAAAGGAAACCAGATTAACAGTAAATTTGACAGGCTTCGTTGTTTGAATATTACTGCAGTAGTGAATATTACTGCAGCAATGATTACTTTGACAATATATCTTATCCTCCATAATCTCCTATACAGATCAGTACTCCTTTTGTTCAAAATCCCATTAGCTCATTGATAAATGTATCGGAACAGTAGTCGTAGGTGCTGTCTTCAAATGGTTGGTTTAACAAATTCTGAAAGTAATTGCTCGGAATCTGATCGTTTGCTTCAATTGGTCCTCCATCTTCAACAGCAAGCTGGGCAGAACCAGCAGTTGGCAAAGGCAGTTGCTGCTCTTGGTTTCCATCCTTCTGATCATGATCAAAGTCAAGCGTTGCGAAGATATCTTCAGAATCAAAGGTAGGAATATGACTACTACGCAGCATGTTATCGTCTAAGAATAATATATCATTGCTCTCTTCGCCATTGTTGATCACATTCACATTCTGATCCTTCGGTTGATGATCTTCCAATGGATAGTAATGACTTGGAATTGGATAGTAAGTTTCAAGTGGTCCTCCATCATCAGCACCAGGCCAGGCATAGCCAACAGTCGGCAAAGGCACATCTTCTTGGGTTTCAGCCATTTGATCAGGTGACAGATTTTCTGATGATGCTAGCGCAGACTCGCTATCTAGGGGCGCCAATAGTTCCTCAATGCTGAAGGTATCAGTAGGACTAGTAATTAGCAAGTCCTCATTAAAGAATAATGCGGGATCATCATCATAAGCAATATCGGTCATCCTCTTCCTCTTATTGCTCTCATCAGGCAGTGGCAGCACGAGGTGATCAGTGTTAGTAATTAGAGTAGAGCAGCTTTCTTGCGGTTCTTCAACATTATTCGTATTCGGATCATCCGAACGCTTTCTCTTATTCTCACCGCACTTCCTTCTCATCTTGCATATCACGAAATCAAAATCATAGCGATTCTTGGAGGCCTTGGTGTCACTACAATCATGAGCAGCCGCAGCGTCATAAAGACTAAACTCTTCTAAAAGCCACCAACCGTGGTCTTCTGACTTCCATTTATTCTCGAATCGAAATTTCCTTTTCCTACCGATAGGATTAGGGTTTCTATGGCCCTCAATGTCTTTCGACCCACTTTCGCTCCAAGTACCAGCATGCCCCATCTTGCGACTGATGTTCTTACGGCTCCTCTTGAGCTCGGAGAAGAAGAAGAGTTGTTGGCCATGGATTTGATCTCCTCCGTAGCGCTCCCAGATCTCAGATGGTTCCGAGTTATGCCCGAACAAACTGCACTTGTGGATATGGCTGTCGTATCCCGCCATCAAGGGGTCTTTCTCTACCACGATCTTGCTGAGAAGGACGACGATTTCTCGGTCTGTGGGATCGAAGCGGAAACCCGGCGGAGGACGGAATTTAGGCATTGCAGACGTTTGATATGTGATGTGATGGATCAAGTGGAGTGCAGCGAAGTAGTTGTCTGGTGTTTGCTCGAGTACTGTTCGATCGGAATAGGAAAGTGTATATTTATAGGAGGGTAAGGTTAGGGTTTCCGGTTTCCTTGGAGACAAAGGAAAAAGAAACTAGCCGTTGGACCTGCCAAGTCGGTTACCCTCAATATTTGTCGTTTTCTGAAATTGAATGCACATTTTTCTATGGGAATTACTATTGACACTTCAAAAATCTCAATTAGCACTCCAAACTTTCTATAATTAGAAAGAAAAATACACTTGTGAAAAGAGTGCAGAATGAAATTTTTGGAGTGCTAATACCGATTTTTTTTTTATTATGGCGTGCGCCGCCGTTTTGGCCGTTCACTAACTTCACCTTGATTTTGCCGTCCTATGTTTTATTAGTTTACTTTTTGTTTGATTGAAATTAAATTTAATTCCAAAGAATATCTAACCTACCTATTAATAAAACTTGGTTGTCAATCAAAACACTAGAAAATTACCATTTTAACCTCTCACCAAAACTAAACTCAAATAAAAAATATGAGCAATTTAGTAATTAGGTGAAAATAAATTTGGATTTTTTTACCGCATCTCACAACCAGGTTAGTATAGCATGCCCTATTTAAAAAAAATAATAAAGTAAAAAATAAAAAGTATTCACACGTTAGAAGAAAATGTTCATCATCATCCCAATTTTAATAATTGATTTTTTTTTTAGAATTTAAAAAAACTAATCCCGCTTCATTATAAAAAAAAATAAAAATAAAAACAAAATGAAATGAAATTAAGCAGGAAAAAAATAATAATTAGAAAAAAATTAATTTTTAGCATGCCCCATCTTTCTACTGGTGTTCTTACAGCACCTGCTAGTATAATGAAAAAATTAATAATTATTACAAATTACACGTGTTAAATTAGAAAATTAGAATATAAATGAAATTAAGTAGGAAAAAAAATTCATTGCTTTGTTTTCTTTTATATTTATTATAAGGGATATTTCTACGTTGAGTTAGGCTAAAAGAAATGAGGAGGGTAAAGGGAAATGGGGAAAATTAGTTTATGTCGACTTAAAAGTTCAAGTCTTGTGTTAGCTGTATTCGAGCCCACTAGTCAAACGACACCTAAAAAGGTGTTGCTTTTGAGTAGATCCTTGATAATTCATATGTTAGACGCAAATGAGACCAATGAAAAGATTGTGAAATTCGAAGTTTCATATCTAAATTTAATTAGCGTTTTCTAGTGATTTTTGTTAAGTTCACTTGTAAAGGAGGTTTTTAAGTTTGATTCACAAGAATACGATATAATATAATTTTTATATTGAATTCAATATCCGTTTATGACTGGTCCATTGTGTTGCTAATATCATTGTATGAAATAAAAAAAATGAGTGGTTTATACATGCTACACAAGAAATCCTTTAATCTTGGTGGCGTCATCGTCATGTAAATGCTTCCTATGTGTTTCAAAAATGTACTACCGATTCACTAGACGTCTAATGTTTGAGTTCAATTTTTATTTTATTTTAAAATTTATTTTACCTCATTAATTAAATTGAAAGATTGAAAACAAGGTTTTTTCTTTTGGTCGAACGGATTAGAAATTAGTTTATTTCAATTGCTTTTGGCTTTAACTGGTTCAATAGTAAACGGTGTTATATATGGGAGTAAAAACCCCTTCAAATCCCACTCCCCGCTCTAGTCCCTTTTTATTTGAATTGTCACGACTAAACCACGTCAAAATCTTATGTTAACTTCTTTATAGAGATAGGAAGACAAAGAAAAAAGTGAGAAGAGAAAGGGAGAAGATTCCGAGGAAGGAGAATCTCACTCCATATATATATATGCCCCCAAAGGGCCCTAACCATGAGTCCATGAATACGAGTCTGAGTTAACCCTATGATCGACATCTTTCCTTAAAGACGAAAACCTCCAACTTTGTAATCTAAACAAAATACAAAATATAAGTTAGGGTTACTGTCAGATATTCGTCAATCATACTCTCGTGAGAATGCTTGTCAACAATCATTTTCCAGAAAATAAAAAGAAAATATCGATAAATTACAAAACCTGCACTTGAGAGCTACATTACAGTTAGCAACTGAGGATGATTCTGATTACTTGAAAAGTACAAGCCAAAAGCACATAAGACGACCAACGGGGTGTCGTGGATCATCACCTACGGGTATTGCTGCTACTATCCGACATTTCCGTACATTAAACTCCCACTTCTCAGCTGCAAAAGGGTTTATAACGTTGAAACTACAAGACCCTTGAGGGTGGGGCTGCCAAAAAAACGAAAAGATGAAGAGGTAAAAGTGTACCTTCTCAACAGCATTCTCCAAGCCTGACAAATCTACCCCTTCTTTCTTTAAAAGTTGTATACGATCCCGAAGATGGTGGTTCTGTTCCTTAGCCTAAATTTGGAAAGTTCAAACAAATAAATATAAACAAGCAAAAACCATATACTATAATCTGCAACTACAAATAAACATTCATTTTGAACTGCGAGAAAATAAATTCAATGAGGTAAGGTGTTTTTTGTAAGGGAAGGAATTATCCAGAAGAAGGTTTCACATCAACAAGAAATC